ACTTCCTGGCCTCAAGCAATCTTCCCATGCCAACATACCTACTTAATTTTGTATATTTTGTAGAGATGGGGTCTCCTATGTTGCCCAGGCTGGTCTCAAACTCCTGGGCTCAAGCAATCCTCCCACCTCAGCCTCCCAAAGTGCTGGGATTACAGGTATGAGCCACCGTACCCAGCATCAGCTAGTCTTTCTGTAGGGACAAGGTGATACCCACTTCTCCATATTTTACCCTCTGCCCCACTGCCCCCTTCTAGGGCTGTGACCTGAACTCTTCAGTGGCAGAAACCGAGTAGCTCTTCACCACAAATTCATGTCCATTTCTTCCTGGGCACATGGTTAACCTTACTTTCCCAGGTTCCCTTGCAGTCAGGTGTGACCCCATGACTACTTCCCAGCAATTGAATGTGAGTGGGATGACATGTTTCATTTCTGAGCCAAGGCTTTGAAGAATTAAGTGTGTGCCCTCCACCCTCTCTCTTTCTCCTTCAGCTGATAGATAGAGAAGATAAGGAGACCCAGGGGATTGTGGAGCCACAAGAAGGAAAAAGCAGGGTCTGTGCACTAGCGCCCGAGGGCAAGCCACCCGTCAACCTGGAAACCAGCTTCAGACAGTTATGTAAGTGGGAAGCAAAATTTTTTGAGCCTCCTGACAGATAAACAAACCTTGTAAAAATAGTTAAAAAAAAAAAAAAAAAGAGGTTAGGCATGATGGCTCACACCTGTAATCCCAGCACTTTGGGAGGCCAAGGCGGGTGGATCACAAGGTCAACAGTTTGAGACCAGCCTGGCCAAGATGGTGAAACCCTGTCTCTACTAAAAATACAAAAATTAGCCAGGCATGGTGGTGGTCACCTGTAATCCCAACTACTTGGGAGGCTGAGGCAGGAGAATCGCTTGAACCCAGGAGTTGGAGGTTGCAGTGAGCCAAGATCGCACCACTGCACTCTAGCCTGGGCAACAGAGCAAGACTCAGTCTCAAGAAAAAAAAAAAAAAACCACCAAAAAAACTCTTTGGGCCTTTATATACATTAGGGCCTATTTGTTATAACAGCTAGCACTGCCCTAGTTAATACACCTCTATCAGCCCTGACTCACCTCTCTCCAGACACTTTGCTTCAGGCCACCCAGACAGAGGAATTCAGTCAGACTTGGCATGTGAAAGGGGTTAGGATAGGGGTTGCTTTTGGGCCTGGACCATTGCCAATGGTGGTCTTAATAAGGCGTGTGACTGTTTCAATGTGCCTATGGGGGTTGCAGGCTGTGTGATGTGGGTGGAGACTTCCTGTCTGCTGTGCCATGGATCTGGGCCATTTCCTAGGTGGCCTTACAGTCCTAGTCCTCACAGCCACTTTGTGAGTGGTGTTTATTATTCCCATTTCACAGATCAGGAAACCAAGGCCCAGAGAAAAGTGCGTTGCCCAAGGCTATACATTCTGTTAGAGATCTGCTAAGCTGTGAGTGTGCTTGGGGTTCCTAGAGCTAGGGCGTGGCCACCACCAGCCCAGATGCCAATAGCTCATCTTCTTCCTGCCAAAGGACCAGTCACAGGCTCTGCCTGGGACCCCCTTCCAAGTTTTTCCTCTCCTGCTGCTGCAAAGATACCTCTTCCCACCCCTCCAGCATGGATGCAGTTCCAGCTCTGACCACATCTTCACCACAGCTAACCCTGGTTCTTCCCATCTCTTAGCCCTTATCTAGTCTTCTCCATGCCTTGAGAGTGGTGGAGTGCTTCCACCCACAGAGCACCATTCTCCACTTCTCCCTTCCTGGCTGCCCACAGAGCATCAGTTCCCGATAAGTACTCTTGGGCTGCGACTTCTGATCCTTCTTCTCTGTGGAGATCTCCTTGGCTTAGGCCTTACCCTCTTCCTCTGGTCATGATGAATTCAGTCTATTTGTCACATTGCTCACTCCCATGCTTAGAACTATCCCATTGAGTTCTGGGAAAAGGCCATGTTCCTTAGTTGGAAATTGAAGGCCCTTTGAGTTTTGGCTTCAGCTCCCCCAACCCCCAATTCCAACTTCTCAGCCATTCCAAACTGCTTGTATTTCATCCGCTCTCAGGCATCTCTCCCTAGATTGCAGCTCCTCTTATCTCTGCTGAGAATGCCTTTACCTTTCCTGGAAAACTCCTACTGATTCTTCATGACCCAATTCCAGGTTCTAGAGCAAACATTCATTCTTTCACCAATTACTTATTAACCACCTCCTATGTGACAAGCACTATTGCAGATGCCAGGGATTCAGTAGTGATCATAGCTGACAAAAATCCCAGTCCCCATGGAAGTCCCATGGAATGTGCATGTTTTTGTTTGTATAGGTACAGATAAATCTCTGCAAGGGCACAATCCTTGGGAGGGGAGTGGCAGAAGATTTTTGTAGTGTCTTTTTTTTTTTTTTTTTTTTTTGAGATGGAGTTTCACTCTTGCTGCTGAGGCTGGAGTGCGATGCCACTATCTTGGCTCACTTCAACCTCCACCTCCTGGGTACGAGCAATTCTCTTGCCTCAGCCTCCTGAGTAGCTGGGATTATAGGTGCCCACCACCACACCCGGCTAATTTTTTGTATTTTTAGTAGAGACAGCGTTTCACCATGTTGGCTAGACTGGTCTCAAACTCCTGACCTCAAGTGATCCACCTGCCTCAGCCTCCCAAAGTGCTGGGATTACAGGCATGAGCCATCACACCCAGCTTGTTGTGTCTTGTATATCTGTTCTCTCTCTCACACACACACCACAAAAATGTGTGACTTTTTCCCCCTTTTTTCTTTTGAGACAGTCTCACTCCATTGCCCACGCTGGAATGCAGTGGCAAGATCTTGGCTCACTGCAGCCTCCTTCTCCTGGGTTCCAGTGATCCTCATGCCTCAGCCTCCTGAGTAGTTGGGACTACAAGTGTGCACCACCACAGCCAGCTAATTTTTTGTAGAGACAGGGTTTCATGATGTTGGCCAGGCTGGTCCCAAACTCCTAGCCTCAAGTGATCCACCCACCTCAGCCTCCCAAAGTACTGGGATTACAGGTGTGAACCACCATGCCTGGCCAGAATCTGTGACTTTAATAATAAAAAAGCTAATTAAAAATATATGACCCAGCTGGGCACGATGGCACGTGCCTGTAGTCCCAGCTACTCGGGAGGCTGAGGTGGGAGGATCGCCTGAGCCCAGGAGTTCTGGGCTGTAGTGCGGTCTACCAATTGGGTATCCGCACTAAGTTCGGCATCAATATGGTGGCCTCCCGGGAGCAGGGGACCACCAGGTTGCCTAAGGAGGGGTGAACTGGTCCAGGTCGGAAACGGAGCAGGTCAAAACTCCCGTGCTGATCAGTAGTGGGATCGTGCCTGTGAACAGCCACTGCACTCCAGCTTGGACAACATAGTGAGACTCAGTCTCTAGAAAAGAAAAAAAAAAAAAAAAAAAAAAAAAAAATATATATATATATATACACACATATATAACCCTGAAAAGATTCACTCTTCAATCTTGAATAAGTTAATTCATTTAAGAGGGCAGTTTCTTTTTTTTTTGAGACGGAGTCTCGCTCTTGTTACCCAGGCTGGAGTGCAACGCAATCTCGGCTCACCGCAACCTCCACCTCCTGGGTTCAAGCAATTTTCCTGCCTCAGCCTCCCAAGTAGCTGGGACTATAGGCGCACGCCACCATGCCCAGCCAATTTTTGTATTTTTAGTAGAGACGGGGTTTCACCATGTTGATCAGGATGGTCTGGATCTCTTGACCTCGTGATCCACCCGCCTCGGCCTCCCAAAGTGCTGGGATTACAGGCGTGAGCCACTGCGCCCAGCTAAGAGGGCAGTTTCTAAAAGGAGCAACCAACCAACAGCCCTCCCTGTGATCTGTAACAGACCTCATTGATTCAAGTATCTAGAGGGGCCAGGCAAGTGCTGTAAGTTAGTGGCCAGGTGGGGACCAGCTTAGAAGAGGAAGGTATTTGTGGAGATTCAGCTCCAGCCTATTGTTCTGCTTTGGGAATGTGTGCCTAGATCTTTTTCTTCTTCCTTTTTTCTTTTTTTCGTAAAAAACTGGAAGTCTGGATTTCTCACGTGAATGTACATATTCTGACTTTAAAATATTGGTAGGCCGGGAGCGGTGGCTCATGCCTGTAATCCCAGCACTTTGAGAGGCCGAGGTGGGCAGATCACGAGGTCAGGAGATGAGACCATCCTGGCCAACACAGTGAGACCCCGTCTCTACTAAAAATACAAAAATTAGGCGGGCGTGGTGATGCATGCCTGTAGTCCCAGCCACTCGGGAGGCTGAGGCAGGAGAATTGCTTTAACCCAGGAGGTGGAGGTTGCAGTGAGCGGAGATTGCACAGCTGCACGCCACCCTGGGCGACAGAGCGAGACTCCACCTCAACTAACTAACTAAATAAATATGCAGCTAAGTCACATTAGAATGTTAGCAGGCAAAACAGAGCTCTATTCAGCTGCAGGCCACCAGTTTTCAATCTCTGATTCACAGCTTTCCTGGGCCTTTCACGGACGCTTCTTGCTGTACCGGGCACTGCACTCTTTTGCATAGGGATGAGTTCCAGTCATCACTGGGGTCCCAGGCCAGGATCCATGTCTGTTCCTCTTGCTTCAACCCGAGTAGGCCTGAGGACCTGAGGGCAGTGGAGGTCCTCAGCTGGGAATTATGTCTCCAAAGGCACGAAGCTGGAGCGCCTGATGGCAGGCACGGCTTAAAGGCTTGCCCAGGGCCACCCGGGGAGGCCAAGGGTTGGAATCCAGGACTCCGCCTTCAGTGCAGAGCTCCTTTCTCCAGGACTAGAAAATGTTATTCCACAGACCGGATTTGTGGCCAGAGGCCCAGGATGTCCTAGTCTTCGGGCATCCGGCCCATTAGAGCGCCCAACAAAAACTGCAAGTTCCAGCCTGCCCTGGTGCTCCCGCCGGCCCCAACCATCCCTCTGCTCCTCATTGGCTCTCAAGCCTAACGTGCTGTTCCGTGACTGGTTACAGCTCTTGTCGCTCGTAAGAACCCACTGCTGGGGCTGGCCGGCATGTGCCTTGGAGCCTCCAAGGAGATGGAACTGCACTCAACCAGGATGGGAGGTTGCCCGGTCAATGAAGCTGCCGCCCACTGTGCTGCGGAGGCTTTGCTGTTTGACTCCCTGGCGACACTAAAGTTGAAGAGCTTCCGGCCGGAGGCAATTAGATAGAACACCCGGAAGGCGGAAGTTCTGGGACGGAAGTGGCGGAGAGCTGAGGAGAATGGCGGCGGAAGGCTGGTTTTGGCTTTGGGGCTGGGGCCGGCGGTGCCTGGGAAGGCCTGGGCTTCCCGGCCCCGGCCCTGGCCCCACTACACCTCTCTTTCTTCTTTTGTTGCTGGGGTCTGTAGCTGCGGATATAACTGACGGCAACAGTGAACATCTAAAGCGGGAGCATTCGCTCATTAAGCCTTACCAAGGTGAAGCCCTTGAGGGGGGAATGAGTGAAGGGTGAGGGAGAGGCTGAACAGGGCTGGGGGAAGGCGTGCCCTTTCTCCTGAGCAGAGCATCTCTGTGGGTTTCCTGCCTCTTTTGGCGAGGCCATTCCTGGCGTCGCCTCTTAGCACCTGTCTCTGCCCACAGGGGTCGGTTCCAGCTCTATGCCCCTCTGGGACTTCCAGGGCAGCACTATGCTCACGAGCCAGTACGTACGTCTGACCCCTGACGAGCGCAGCAAAGAGGGCTCTATCTGGAACCACCAGGTGAGTGGTTCTCAAGAGGCTAGGCGTACTGTTCAGTCGGCTGCTAGTCCCTGCCTCCCAAGCAGCTGAGACCCGAGCTTGGTTTATAGGTTTGTACCTCCGTCCCTGGCCTTTTCCCCATCTTGGTCACACCTACCAATAATGAGAGGCGATGGGTATTGTGTACTTACTATGTGTCAGGAGCTGCGCTTGGCACTTTACGTCCTCCTCACTTCCTTCAAAATTCATGCGAGATAAGTAATGTTATCTCCATTTTACCCACTAAGAAGCTAAGTTTCAGGTTTGAAAGTACCTTACCCAAAGTTACATAGCCAGAAAGTAGTGGAACTGTCAGGCTGTCTGACTTGAATCCCCTCAATAGTGGGAAGAACCGAGCTAACTGGATCTTTATTAGATATTTTGCCGTGTGTTAGGCACTGACCTTGCCATGCCTTCTTACATTTAATATTATTTTTCTTTTTTCTTTTTTTGAGACGGAGTCTCGCTCTGTCGCCAGGCTAGAGTACAGTGGCGAGATCCGGCTCACTGCAGCCTCCACCTCTCGGATTCAAGCGATTCTCCTGCCTCAGCGTCCCGAGTAGCTGGGACTACAGGCGCGCGCCATCACATCCAGCTAATTTTTGTATTTTTAGTAGAAATGGGGTTTCACCATGTTGGCCAGGATGGTCTCGATCTCTTGATCTCGTGATCTGCCCACGTTGGCCTCCCAAAGTGCTGGGATTACAGGCGTGAGCGGCGGCACCCAGCTGCACTTAATTTTCAAACAAGCTGTTTGAAAAAGATGGCTTTCATGACTATGCAAAGATAACACTGCTAGCGAATGGCATGAACAGTATTTTAACTCTGATCTGTCTGATCCCTAAGCCCAGCAGTTCACTCGACATACTTGACACTCTCTGCCTGGACAGTGGAGGAACCCCTTAGAACCCTTTTCCCAGTGCTTGGTTGAGGGTCTTGTCATCAGTGGTGTGGAAGAACAACCTGTGGGTAGTTTTAGTGTCTGTGTCCTTTGCCCTGGAGTATGTAGTATGTGAGCAGTGGCCAACGACAGCTGCTACACAGACTCCACACTGAGGCAGTCAAGATGAGGAAAACGGGGAAAGAAGAAGAATTTGGGGCTGAGTTACAGCTTGGAGCGGGACCTGCTCCTGTCCCAACTTGCATGATCTCAACTCTTCCCATGGCTTAAGCTGTTGGCCAGTGTTCTAGTTTTCTTTTATCACCCTGCTCTCTGGTCCCTGCTGGTTGACTTTCTTGTTTAGTTCTGGGAACCCACACTGTCCTTGTGTTGCCTGGTCTGCCCGTCCAGCTCCTCCTCTTCGTGCCCTTTGCCTCCACACTGCCGTTAGTGGCATCTGGGGTTACTTTCTTCAGCTTTCACTCTGATCCTCAGAGCTTGGGGTCCTCTCTGAAGGAGTAAGCATGCATTATGTCTGCACAATCTGGCCCCTGGTGCATCTTCATTCTCTCTGTTAATTTTGTTCCAGCCTTCCTGGCTGTCTTCTTGCCTCAGCACCTTTCCACCTGTTGTTCCCTCTGTCTGGGACACTGCCTCCTGGCTCCTCATGCCTGCTTGGTTCCTTCTCATCTGTTAAGTCTCAGTTCAAGTGCCACCCACTCAGACAGTTCTTCATTAACCACTTTATCTCCCCCGAGTACATTCTGTCATATTATTCTGTCTTTGGGCTTTCGTATATTTTTAAGAAATGATAATTCAGCCTTATATTTTTCATGGAAATGAGTTCAGTATAGCATTACATTTTTTTTTCTTTAAAGCAAGATGCAAATAATGCTGGAACTGTAGAAATCAGGATTGGTTATCAGTAATAGACAGATCTAAGACAGTGGCTTAAATTTCGGTTGTAGATAGCTGATGGTTGTCATCATCCGTGGCTTGAGATGCCACAGGACTGAGAGGCTTCTGTACTTGCCTTTATTGAATTTTCAGTCTGGAATACAATTGCTTTGCCTTTCCTCCTCCACCTTTCTGTTTGGCTCTGCTGATACTCCTGAAACATTTGGAGTGCTTCCTATAAATTCTCGAAAGAAACTGCTTAGAAATCAGAATTTTCTGTTCAGTATTTCCCAAGAACTGCCTCTTCTTTAATGAGCTGTAGAGATGCTTTCTAAACTTTTCACTGTTTTATCCCTTTCATTCACCCCATCCGGGAAAGGCACGTACTCGGGCAAACATTCACTGAACGCCTGCTGTCTTCCCAGCAGCCATAAGATAGCTCCTGCTGTGGTATGGGGGTGGAGTGGTCCAGATTAAGGAGTGGCTCAGAGGTGACTAAAACTGTAAGTGCCTGGTGGCTGCAGCATAGGACCTGGGGAGGCTGAAGAGGCTGCTCAGGCCTTATCCTTTTGGGGATCTTGTGTGGAGGCTGAGACAGTGGTCTTTAAGCTTTTTTTGCTGTTGTAGCAATTTGCTGTTGTAGCAACCTGATATTATATATCCCCTTGAGCTTTGTGGAAGTTGGCATAAAAAATTGTCATTAAGTTTAAGTATTTGCAAAGGATAACAGCATATTGCAATTTGATATTCACTTTTTTTTTTTTTTTTTTTGAAATTGAGTCTCGCTGTCTCCCAGGCTGGAGTGTAGTGGTGCTATCTCGGCTCACTGCAACCTCTGACTCCCGGGTTCTGCCACAGCCTCCTGAGTAGGGACTACAGACACTCACCATCATGCCCAGCAAGTGTTTGTATTTTTAGTAGAGATGGGATTTCACCATGTTGGCCAGGGTGATCTTGAACTCTTGACCTCAGGCAATCCCCCACCTCAGCCTCCCAAAGTACTGGGAGTATAGGCATGAGCCACCACGCCTGGCCAATACCCACTTTCTTTTAAACAGTATGAATAAACTCAAATGGTATATATATATACTTTTTTTATTTTGAGATACAGAGTTGTTCTCTGTCACCCAGGCTGGAGTGCAGTGGTGCAATCTTGGCTCACTGCACTCTCTACCTCTCACAGGTTCAAGTGATTCTCCTGCCTCAGCCTCCTGAGTAGTTGGGATTACAGGCGCACACCAACGCACCCAGCTAATTTTTTGTACTTTTAGTAAACATGAGGTTTTGCCACATTGGTGAGGCTAGTCTCAAACTTCTGGCTTCAAGTGAGCTGCCCACCTTGGCCTCCCAAAGTGCTAGGATTACAGGTATGAGCCACTGTGCCTGGCCAGTACATCAGTTTTTTAATTGAACTTGTATTTTCACATATGCACATAATTTTATCCTAATGCAATATATTTAATGCTTGAAAATGTTATTCATTAGCCTACCATGTTCTTCTGCAAGTAAAATAAGTATAATAATTTAAACTTTTTAACTTTGTTGAGACTGTGAAACTAAGTTTTAGTATTTAATTTGGAATTATTGTAATTATCTGTACACACTTGATAAAGGTAAATGCATTACACAGTTTTTGAATAATTATACAAAAGTAAACATTTTTTGAAACGTGAGATCTCAGTGAGATGTCATCCCCCGACCCCCATCTGTATTGATACTCCTGTCAGAATAAGACAAGTTTACTACCACTTCTACTTTTTGTTTTTATGTACATGAATTCTGAGAAATTGCATTCCCTTATATAGTTGTAGATGGAGATGGAGGTGGGGTTAATTTTTAAATTTTAAATTTTTATTAGAGATGGGATCTTACTATGTTGCCCAGTCTTACCTTTAACTGTTGGACTCAAACAATCTTCCCCCCTCAGCCTCTGAGTATCTGGGACTGCAGGTGCCCGCCACCACTGTGCCTGGCACAGAGGGAGTTTTGGTATAGCAGTATCACTGAATACTTTGAACTTCTTTTGGTTTATAAACCCAACATGCAGCGATCTTTTATCAAAACTTTTAATGATGTTTTGGCTATTGATTACATCTGCATACCATTTCATTGCAAGCAGAGATGTGGAAACTGCCTAACTGTAAAATAGCCTCTTACTGTCAAGTGATTCAGTTGGCCTGGTGTAGGGTCAAGGCATTGAGCTTTCTGAGCTCCCAGGTGGGTCCACTGTGCAGCCAGGGTTAAGAACTGTGGCCATATCATGTTTGTTCCCAAAAGCAGCTTATGAATCGTTTCTAACCTGCACCTTGCTTGCTTAAAATCCTCCAGAGGCTTTCTGTTGTCTGTATCATAGTATGTCTCTGCTAATCTACAGTTTTAATCTGGGGTCATGGAGACTTTCTAAGGCTTGCATAGTCCTGGAGGAGTCAGTTTCCAGATCCTCCTCCGTCTTGTGTGCTCATTCCTGAAACCAGCCGCCCTGTGAACATGCTGGGGATGGGTGTGTGGGTTTTCCTTTTCCACCTCCCTCTCTCAGTTGCTCTTCTGCTCTGAGGTCAGTCTTGCAGCAGCCTGGTCTTCAGGGTGTCATCCCCAGGTGCAGAAAACTCCTGGGCACCAAAGAGACCATTTGAAATCTGGGCTGACTTTTGTATATGTGAGATATATTTATTTTTTGTTTTTTTTGTTGTTGTTGTTGAGATGGAGTCTCACTCTGTTGTACAGGCTGGAGTGCAGTGGTGTGATCTCTGCTCACTGCAACCTCCACCTCCCAGGTTCAAGCGATTCTCCTGCCTCAGCTCCCTAGTAGCTGGGACTACAGGTGTATGCCACCACACTCGGCTAACTTTTTGTATTTTTAGTAGACTGGGTTTCACTGTGTTAGCCAGGATGGTCTCGATCTCCTGACCTTGTGATCCACCTGCCTCAGCCTACCAAAGTACTGAGATTACAGGCGTGAAGCAGTGTGCCCAACCATGAGATATATATTTTTAAAGTTTTCAAATACATAAGGGCTATTTTAGTTATCTTTTAAAAATTGTTTATTATCGTTAGATAGCTAATTTAATTGCATCATGGTCAGGTTTTTTTTTTCTGTTTTCTTTTTTTTCACCTGCAACTGTCTTCATTGAGTTATAAGGTTTTTTTTTTTGGGGGGGGGGAAACATTCTGATTGTGCTTGCAATGAATGTGGATTCTGTACTTG